ATCGGTTGAAGCATCCGTGCTTCCATGTTCCACAGAAAAGGAGCCGCCTCTGCCTGACATGCATTTCCTGCTCAGGCGCCCCACAAGGCATAATTTAATGCTTGAAGTTATAGGTTTGCTTTGAGCAGGTTTCGTTTTGCTTCCCATACATGAAACGATGAGTTTCACATCATCACACCTCACAAGCCAGCTCGTCTTTCTGTGGGGCGTGTACAAAAGGAAGCTGTTTCCAACGAACCTGGCCTACTTTTAACAGGCGACGTAATCCTGGAGCCTCACACGGGTTTGGATTATCACATCACTGTCAGTTTGCTTTTCCTTTTTTTTTTTTTTTGCTAAAACTATTTTCTCACCAAAATTATATGCTAAAAATCCAAGAGGAATGTTATTATTGATGCATGGATGGCCAACAAGTTCTGTTGTAATTGATTACATCGAAAGACATGCCGAGTATCCAAACTATGGAGATAAATCTGCATATAAACCGGTTTTTCCTGGAGCTGTCAGTGCTTTTACATCAAATTGGCTTTGTCAGGTCGCTCCTTCATTGTTCAGAACTGAGAACAATGAAGGATTTAACAAGAAAACAGCGCTTTAATAAATGTGCATCTCTCCGTAAACAGCACGGATTGGGTTTGATGTGCTGATATGTCGTCAAATGCCAGTAAGAGTTTCCCAGTCAACCCATGAGCCACGAGTGTAAGGTACACATTGGAGACTTTATTTCTTTTTTCTCTTTTAAATCGGTTTAGCTGACCAGTATAGCGCCAGTCTATCCAGGTCCAAATAAGGAACCAGCGTTTTTATTTCTGTTAATCAAAATTTTCTTTGATTATATACATATTTCTCCTCCTTCCCCCCCTTTTGTTTTGTTGTCCTATTTATAGAAACTGCCAGCTCATTGTATTTTGCGAAGCACGCAGTACAAACACGGGCAAAGACCCTGGCTCTCATTATTTGCTGATGATTTACTCCTGAATTTAGAATAAATGGTTCTACTGCGTATCTGATGCTTCAGCGGGGGGGGGGGAAATGATTCTCTTTTTCTCTGCACCTTCACAAACAAAGAGCGGGGAGACTGATGATGGGAGTGCATTTGTGTAGTGATACAGCAAATGGCCAAATTTCCATGCTTCAGTTAGCCTTGTGTGACCTTGTATGTTTTCATAGTAAATGCAAATAAATACCCTGTTCGTCGGGGGCGTTTAATAAACCTCCCTTTGAATCTGCTTTTGTCACCAACTATATCTGTCAATGTTTAGCAAATAGTTGCAGGTTAGAAAACAAGTGCAGGTCTTCGCTTTCTTTTTCTACAAATAAAAATATTTGATAAGCCCATAAAAGCGTGTCACAAAAGCTTCTTTTGTTACGTGAAGCTCTGCCAACTTCCTGTTCCGCAGAAGGAAGGCAGCTCTTGTCTGAAAACTATGCCTTGCAAAAATGTTAATACTTTCTCACCTGTATTGACTTGAGAAGTGAATCTACAAGATTTAACACGAGAAAAGTGGAACACTACATTCGTTTATCCAGGTGAAAATAAAGTTGGAATAAAATTGTTTGCTTAAGGCTCACCAGAGGGGAATGGTGAGAAGCTTTGGATCGGAGATCATTGTGTTAGAATGGCTCAGGAAAAATGCAGTGCTTAATTCAATTGAGAAAATGCACCAAGAATTGGAAAATATCCTGTAAAGAACTATGGGCTAAGTTTTGCTTCTCAATGTGGAGTGGAAGGAAGCGGAAGGTGGTTCGACATGAGCGAGACGACTAAACCCCTCGCCTGCTTTTCGATGAAAAACGTGAACCTCTTGCTTTTACGTTGTGAGTCCGAAACAGAATCTCGGAGACGTGACGGCTTGATGCTTCACGTATCTCCGTTTTGATCGTCGGGTTAAATGCTGTTGTTTTTCTGAACTGAAGCACACAAGTTTACAGCCAGTGCAAGATGAAGGCTTATAACTAAGAGTTTGAAACTGAACTGCTTTTTGACTGTAGTCTCATTTTTCTCAAAACTAATCAGTTACTGTAATAAAGCTTTTTTCCCCTGTCCCCCTTGTTTATACACATTTTAAGGTGTAACCCCTCAGGGTATAAAAACGTATTATGCACCTCAGTTATTCCTGGCAGGGCTCCATCCTGTGGCTGTCAGTACCTGACTATCTGATTAAGTAAACTCTGACTCATTTTTTTCCAGGTTATGTGGAAATAATTGTATTAAATTTATCTTTCCTTAAAAATCTACAATTACCCCAAAATGACAAAATGGAAAAATGTTTTTCCATTTTGGAAAAACATTTCCAAAATGTTTTTCCAAACATTTGGAAATGTTGGAAAAAGATTTCCAAATGTTTTTTGGAAACATATTTATAAATAAATATTTATTTATAAATATTTATTTATTTATAAATAAATAAATATTTATAAATAAATAAATATTTTTAATAAATAAATAAATATTTATTTATTTATTTATTTTATTTTTTGCAGAAGTCCACCAATTATATATGGCAAAGCAAACAGAGGAAAGCCATTCTTTAAATCTGGGGTATGTAACTTTAAAAAAAAAAAAAAAAAAAAAGTTTTTGCATATTTGTTAACACTGACCATGATGTGACAGTGTAGATAACCTGTGAAAAAATATGAAGCTTCTCCACTTCTTCCCAAAGCTACCAGTGTTGGCGCTGTCACTCAGCTTGTGTACACGCTGCTAAGTGAGCAGTCCATGCGTGGAAGACAAGCAAACAAACAAACAAAAAAAGTAATAAAATCTTGTATTTTTGCTAAACACACCCAAATAATAAAAATGATTTAGATCTGTTTTGTGGTTTAAAAGTATTATGTTAATTGAATGTATTCATTTAGTACATCCGGTTAGATGACATTTAACGTTATACGTGCTTAATTTCTGTTTGTAGTAAGATGTTACACCACGCTAACTAGCCGTAGCATTCATGGCGGCCTCCATTGCGGTGAAGCAGCTGAAGTCTAGCAGAGATCAAGGGGGGGAGGCTGCAAGCATGATTGACACCGCTAAGACCCTCCTCCTGGCACTGATTGGTTGTTTTTGACCGATCTGCGTATTTCTGTAGCTATTCAATTTTTTGAATAACAAATTACTTAATTGTCCACAACCATCATTGTCGCTTATCAAGTTGGCTTCAAAACATAGTTGAAACTTATTTTAAATTAAATTGAAGCCCGGAAATCTGGAGATTTTTGAATGAATAAATTGAGAATGCACTCTTTTGTACAGCAACAGTTTTACAGAGTTCACAAGAAGGTAACTGAGGAGCACGCATGATTTATTGCATAAAAAGTCTGAGGGAATGAAAATGATTCCAGGGATGCGCTCAGGTTTTACACTGCGGATGACAACGCTTGAGTTCACGCACAATAGAAGGAGATCGTCACAAATCGAGTCATTAGCTGGCAATGTATTTGAAAATAGATATTTTATGGTTAAAAAACTACATAATTTTTTAATTAAAGAACTATTTGCTTTGACAAAATGTTCAGGATTTACTCCTTTTGACTTGCTTTTTTGACCTTACCGTACTTTACTATCTTTCTGTTTTTCTTGTTGTAATCTTTGTGTCAATGTGGTTCCATTTTTCGGTCACTGAGACAATAGTTTCTATTCTATTCTATTCTATTCTATTCTATTCTATTCTATTCTATTCTATTCTATTCTATTCTGTTTGGATTCTGAAACGCAGCAGTCTCATGCTCCAACTAGAATTAATTGCTGTTGCTCAACTACTCAATTTCAGCCACGCAGCGATTCCCAAATGCTCCAAATGACTCAGACTGTCAGTGGAAACCTGTCATGTGAAATGGAGAATATTCTGGATGTAAACGAACAGGAAGCCCTCGTGGATTTTCATGATGATGACGCCTCTAACCCGGACCTGAAAGATGAAAACTCGAACCATGTAGTCAACAGACAAACCTTCACGTCATGCCGGACTGGATTGTTTTTTAAATCATAAGGTTAAAAAAAAAAAAAAAAAAAAAAACAAGTGAATGTTTGTTTGCCTGACTGAACATGTTCTTTGCAGATTTTTCTCAAAAATTGTCAAAAACTTCCTTATTTGTACTAAACTGCTGCCTCAGCCTTAATTGATGTCAGATTGTAGTCCATTATCTATACAGCAATAAATAAAAAGTCGCATTTACCGTCATAAATATTGCAAATATTTCCAAACATTTTCATTTTTATTGCAAAATAAATAAAAATAAAATAAAAAGTTTCACGAAAGCCTGGAAGGATTGGAAAGATGTTCAATACTATTATTTAATTTGAAGAATTCATTGATATTTTAATAGTTGGTGAACAGGTTTTATCAATACATTCTGGCACAACCGGCCCTTTAAGAGCTTTTAAGATCTTGGTTTGACCCAAACGAAAATGAGTTTGACACCGCTGGCCTAAATACAAACAGTGCTGCGAACAAATATTCTTATGGATTTCCTAGGTTTTTAAAGCAACTTTCATTTCATGTCAGACTAATTTAACCACGTTAAATACAAAGTTTACTGCTTTCTGATGATGATTTCATTAACTGAAGCGGAAGAGTCGTTCAAACCGACATGTGGTTGTGTGGCCAACCAGGAGAGCAAATATATCTGCACGCCTGTCCAGCTGACAGAGCTGTTTTAATGAATGGAAACACTGTTTAAAACCTGATTTTTGCATTCACTCGCTTTACCTTTGACTAATACAGCAATTTATTTCACTTTGATCTTTCACCAAGATCACCTTGTGTGATCATCTACTGAATGCAAATAAATACCCTGCCGTGCAGGTGTTTAATAAAAATCTCATAGAATATGCTTAGAAAAGACACACGATGTCTGCTAGTACATCATCTATTAATAAAGATTCCCGCCTTTTTTCTATAAAGAAGAAGAAGAAGAAGAAGAAGAAGAAGAAGAAGAAAAAAAAAAGGACTGAATCTATACTGAGCCACAAAGGTTTTCATTTTTACTCTGAAGCCTCTTGTAAACAAAAATTTCCATAGAAAGCATGTTTGCTTCTGGGCAGGTGGCGCTTCTGTGGAAAGGTAAGTCATGCGACCGCCTCTTCAGGCAGCGAGTGGGAGGAGAGTTTCGTTTAAGAAGCAGCCAGTCAGTCAGAAGGTCAGTCAGTCAGTCATTATCCTTGAACACAACTCTCAGCAGAGGAACCCGAACAAGTGAGTACTTTACGGTCTCTTCCATAGCGATTATGTCAACAGTGTCTCAGTTCTAAACATTCATTTTTCATGTGAAGTCTAAAAGTTTTTTTTTTCTCTCTCTCTCTATTTTCTTAGCAGGAGGCCTTTTGTCTTCCTATCTCTTGAAATCACCATGTCCTGCGACGAACTGGAATGCATCATTTGCTGCAACGAGTACTCCCGCACCAGGAGGGTCCCCAGAGTGCTCCACTGCCACCACACCTTCTGCGCCCCTTGCCTGGAGAAGATGTCCACCCTGCAGGGAGCCATCTACACCGTCTCCTGCCCTCTGTGCCGCTGGGTCACCTGCGTCCAGGCCCGCCTGTCTCTCTCGGGGGCTCTGTGGATCGACACTGAGAAATGGGACCAGATCATCGAGCACAACAACCTGGAAAGCAAACAGCCCCAACTCGTCCAGCCGCCGCCTCTGTAAGTTTCAGTTCTCTCTTAAAAACAACACATACCTGGTAGTACGTGGGTCGCAGTTTCCGCACAGCTCGTATCTAAAGACAAAACGTCTTTCTTTTCTTTTCTTTTCTTTTCTATTTAGATCTTGCCGCAGGCGGCCTGGTGTTTTTTCCGGACTCCAGCGGCTGCTCAGCTGTGTGCCGCTGCACCAGCAGAGCTGCTGAAGGGCGGAGAGAGAAAAGAGCGTCGCTTCTGAGGAACCGAGACTTTTGGAGCGCTTAATGTGAAGTTTGGACGTGTTTCAGCAGAGACTGGATCTAGAAGTACTGTTTGCTTTATGTCGAGCTGTTTTTTTTTGTTTGTTTTTTTTAATATTTTTATTTTTTTTATTTTTATTTTTTTAAGATGTGAATGTGAGCGAAAGCGAAGACTTAAAGTTTTTTTTTGTCAAAGTGAAAAAGGAAAATGTTTTAGGTTATTTAAAAAAAAAAGAAATCAAAGGAAGACCTCAAGCATTATATCGACAGATCATGCAAAAAATAGTTGATTGAGTTTTCCTATAAGAATAAATAATTTATTGTAAATAATATTATAATTATTTATATATGCAGTGTGATTTTGTTTTTATAATTATTTCTGATTTGTTCCTGAATATGTGTATGTAGTATCAGGCATCCTGAGTTTTTTTTTAAAATTATTATTATGCATGTTTATGTCATTTTTAAAACATATCTGTGAATTTTTGTTTGTTTTTGCAACATGAACTGCAACTGTGAATTGAGTGTCTGGAAAATGATGAACAATGTTCTAATATCAAGTTATTTGAAGCATTTGAATAAAAATAATTTTCAAAAGAGCTTTTGAGCAAATGTCATGTTTCGTAGCAGTGCGTACCTTTACAGTAACTATGTTGAAGACATCAAAATGCTCATTTTAATTTTAAAACTTTGATTATTTTGTTAAAGTGCAAACTTATCCATCCATTCATTGTTCAACACAATTATACCTTGAGGTACCTCCAGACTTCATTGTTTTCTTTCAAAATCTTCTTGTGTACTTTGTAAGGCTTGGCGGTATTTATATATTTTTAACAAAATATAGATAAGTAGATGGGTGAACTCTTACACGAAGTTACAGATTCAGTCTGCACATGCCTAATTCAGTCCTTGAACCTCACCTGAAGAGGACACGTCCTGTTGCAGCCGACTGAAGAGGAAACCCATAAAAACCCTTGAAATTAGAAAATAAGTTGTTTTGCTTCATTCATTTTTGTGCTTTATGTTTTGACATGATTATTTGTGTTGCGGTCCCTCAAATCACTTCTATTGTACTTTCATGCAGCAGTAATTTGTGCACAACTACAATTTTGTTTTTTTTGTTTTGGCACAGACACACACTGCTGCAGACGTAAAACAAGAAAAGGCAGGAACAACCACTGAATTTGCATGAACCAAAAACAATAGACTTACTTGGAAGGAAATCAAGGATGAGTAATGAGGAACTGCATAACATCGAACCAGATGACAGGGATTCTTTGGCTGCTGAAGATAAATGCCACATAAACGTCTGGATTGATCAACACACAGAAGAGGAAGCTTAAATCCAGAATGGCTGCACGCATGACAGCCGTTCAGTCAGTAACGTTCAGTCGTCGCATGTTTTGTTCGGTTTCATGAACATGTTCAAATATTCAGGTGAGGTCCAGGTTACCGTGTGGGCCCCTGGCTCATCCGTACATCTGCCATCCATGTAATTCACAGAGCAAGAAGAAACAAGCTCACGCACACCATAGTAGGATGTTTTCGGTTTAATGTTGGGGCTGAGATCTTCTGCACAGAAGTCTGGGAGAGCTCAGAAACTGATCTGCTCTGCATGTGGAGAACAAACGGCGAAAGGAAAAGGAAGGAATCCTGGCTGATGTCAGGAAAAGTCCAAGTCAATACACTAACTCACAGGCGTCCTGAATCAGAGGGGTTTTTGTTCTACAGGTCCATATGGGCCATTTCTCAGGGCGGCATTAGAAATGGAGGGTCCAGATTAAAATACTATACACACACGACTTATCTATCAGCTGCGCCTTCAAAAAGTTATCAAATGTTTTTACGTGTGCACAAGCCAATGAGCAGTTGGCGCCCCCTGCTTGCTGCTGGGAACAGGGAGACTGTTTAACATGTTTTGAATAGGCCATTATTCAGCGGTTTTCCCGTCCCCAGACTCAAGACGATTTCCAGCTTTTTGAATGGTTGTAGAGGCGTCACTCTGGAAGAATTAGACTCAATACCACACTCTGAATTACAAGTAAATACAGAGAATGTTGTGATCGCTCAAACCACACCCACATCTCCTGCAGTTGAAAAAGAATCTGGAACTTTCTAAAGTACTTTTAGAGATTAAGGATGCTTTATCAGCAACCTTTGAAATATGAATTTTTGCTTAATATCTAATTTTTGCCATCAGCCTTGAAGGTGACACCACAAGAAATGTCACATGTCACTATTTGGGAAAACTATAGTTTCTTGTTCAGCTACAGCAGCGACAGAGAAACAAAAAGTGGATTGAACTGAAGTTTTATGTCAGCGTTTTATAGCGGCGTAAAATATGTGGCTTCTCCACTTGATTACTGTCAAAGCAACTTCAAGCTAAATGATAAAAAGAAAAATTGGCTAAAATCCAAATGCAGATGCAGGTAGAATTCAAGCATCCACAAACATTGAGATAGGCTTTACAAACGCCATCAAAATTCCTAAAAAAAAAAAAAAGATAAAAAGTTGTAGAAATTCCTGATCAGTAACATTGAACGTTGTGTTTTGTCGTGTGATTTGTCATAATCAAACCAAATCTGGAGCCAGTTCTAAAACTAGAACTCTGTGAAAGAAATGGTCGCATTTTAGAAAGTGAACTAGATGCATTAGAATGAAATATTCTAAGCCATTATATTTTTGTCTAGATGATTCTGAATCTTGATTTAAGAGCATAAAAACTCAGCTACTTTGAACTGAGCACTTTGGGGGTTTTTTCTCCTAAACTGAGAAAAGTCGCTCGTCTCCTTCATGTGGGATTTATCTAAGTGGGTTCTTGATGTGCCTCGGTCCACTGCTTGTGAAGCTCCACAAATGTTTAAAAAATTTTTCTCGACAATCCTCTCAAGGTTATCTCTGTTGCACTTTTACCTTCCACTCAACCTTCTGTGAATATGCTTTCGCAGTATAATTTTCAGAGTGAATTTTGTTTCTTTTGTCATCTGTAAGCCATAATCATAAAAACCTAATATTTCATTAGGATGAAATATTATATTATGTTTCACTTTCTAAAACAAGTGATCCCTGCAACTTTCGGTGCTCACGGTTTCAAACGCAGGAATACGCGGATGAAACCGGTTAGGGCATTTTAATAATTTTTAATAGATTGAAAATTTTGGATTTTTATTAGCGGTCTGAGAATGTGTCCCTTTCATCTGAATTGTATTCTTCAAAACATTTCTACATTTTTTTGGTCTATGTCATTAAGCACTTCTAGATGTTTTGCAACAGTTAAAACTTTTACAGTTCCTTTTATCAAAAAAAAAAGAAAAAGAACCATCTTTCCAATAAATTGATTTGGGTTTTTATTACCTCTCAGCTACGATTCTATCTAACAATCCTCTGTTTACTAAAGTCAATTTTTTCAGCCTTGAAGGAGCTTTATCTAAAACCAACTTGCTTTACTCACCATTAAACTGATAGTAAAACCGACACTCGCTCTGTACATTTTTCTGGGTCACGTGCAAGAGCTAAACCTTGAGCCAGCATAAAACAAAAACCTCAAATCACTTCTCTGGAAGTAACTCTGTTTATGAGGGAGAAGAATGTGATTAAATCTCATCTGCAGTTTTACTCGCATGGCAAACGCAGATTTCGCCCTCACCGCTCAGGAACGTGTGGCAAATAAAGAAACAAGTCGTGAAGCAAAGGAATTAAGATTGCGGTTATTTTATTGGAAACAGTGAAAGTGGATTATTTGAACCCCTTTTTCCCTGAATTAGCTCTACCAAACATCCTCTTTAACTACACTATGTTAGGATGAAATACAGTTAAATACTCAGACATTACAACACAGAACCGATGATGGAAAACAAAAACAAAACAAACAAGAAAACAAAAAAAGCGGGGGGGGGGGGGGTTTAACCTAAAAGCCCGCAAACCACCCAGAGATCAGCGCCTTAAAGACGATGACGACGACGCTGCTGGCAGGAGAAGCCGTCTCGCAGCTGCATGTCTGAACACAGTGGTTGACGGTTTCGCTGCCTGCGTGTGTCGGCAGATCTACTCTGCCCCCCAAGCCCCTCCCACCACCGTTTGGCCTGAAAACAGACAATAGGAAAATTCGCCTCAGACAGCTGGGAGTGTCTTCCCGACACACTGTTACATAAATACGTCTTTGTGCAGAACAGGGGGTGTTTAGTTTGTTACAGCTTTCAGGCGAGAAAATAACTGGCCTTAAATCTGTTTTAGTAATAGTAGGTCCTAAAAGTCTGGATTCACATGAATACATACATTTTTCTTTCCAGTACACATGAAGCGAGGGGAGGGGGGGGGCTTTTTATTTTATTTACCCCCCCCACCCCAATTAAAAAAAAAAAAAAAAAAAAAAAAAAAAAAAAAGAGCTTTTCACATGATCGCTTCGGGAAGGAGATCACGCTCTGAACTTTAGCAGTACATTCAGCACTCAGTTTTAAAGTTCTCTATTGCATACAAACATGATCGATCCGTCCGAAACGCCGTCACTACAGGAACACAACAACCACGATTTAAATAAAAAAAACAACAACAAAAAAAAAAAAAACACAGCCATCACAGTTTTCGCCGCAACTCTTCTCTGAACATCTTGGCGGAGCTTCCCCTTCCATAAACATCATAATTTAAGAAAACAGTAAAACGACATGAGTAAACAAACATGGGAAGGAGTGGGGATGGGGAGGGGAGTTACAGTATTTATGTTCGCTAAATAAATACAGGGCTTCAAGGGATTAGTGTGGAAACTTAAGGCTCATGAGAAACTAAGGGCTTGTTTTTGAGCATTTCTGCTGCTACTGACAGGAGGAGGATCTCTCTTCACAACAAAACCTCAAAATAAACATCACAGTTTTATTTTGTGATGTTTTTACATCACAAAATAAATTAACATGATGCCTTACAACTGGATCGACTAGGATGGGGGATAAAATATGAGCCATGGGTGGGTGGGGGGGGGGTATTAAGATACATTACAAATAATACCAAAAGTCATTTCAAATACACTAAAATAGTCCAAAAGAGCATATAGATAGCTAGGGCTGAAATGCTTTCTTGTGGTTAAAAGCAGCAAACAATTAAGTGACAGACAGTAATTCTTAAGTTTCAGTGTCCCTTTGTGATAGTATGCAAGTGGGGCAGTAGATCATCTCTACCTTTTTTTTTTTTTATAATTGCATTGGTTCCCTATAGGTAGGGGTACTGTGTGAGGCGCCTGGGGCTCAGCTGGTAGGCGCTGTACGCCTCAGCTCGGGGCGTCACGCTGACGTAGGGTGAACCGGCCGCAAACTGGTGCTGGTAGGCGGCGGGCAGGCCGTGCAGCAGGCTGCTGACCGACTCCTTGCGACCGGCCGAGTCCCTCCTGGAGGACGACGAAGATGAGGCGTACGTTGCTGCATAGGCGGAGGGAGAGTGTCCGTGGCTGCCGTGGCCCCGGCTGAGCAGCTGCTCCATGGCCTGGGAAGCCGAGGAGAGCGCCGTGGAAGCTGGGTAGGTGTACAGGCTGGCCGCTGCGGCGGCGGCGGCGGCAGCGGCTGCGGCGGCCGGGCCCGGGGCCAGGGCCGTCACTTCTGGGAAGCTGTAGTGAGAGGCGGGAACAGCCGGAGGGAACGTCTGCTGGCGGTGCAGAGAGGAGTCGCCGTGGGAGACCAACGAACGCTCCTGAGACGAAGAAACCACCGACTGAACCTAAAACAAGGAAAAAAATTATTCATTATTGTTGGATCAAGACAAAGTTATAAACATCCATGGAATACCAAGAAGATCATTTCCAAACCCAGCTGCCATTATAGCTTCGTCCAACAGGGGGCAGCTTTGGCTCAGTCAATATCCTCTCCTCTCTTAGGTCATTCTTATGCATTTTAGTGAAACTAAGACTTCCTAAAAAGTCCGGGGAGTAATTTGTAAAAGTGTAAATCGAGTTTGCTCCTGCCTTCAGTTACAGAAAACTGAAAGGACTTGCAACAAAGTTCAACTACTCTGGTGGATTCTGCATCCTTTAGCTGACGCCACAGTTTGCAGAACGATTACAAGGATCTCATTGGGTTGAAGGCTTAGATCTGCCTCAGTGAAAACAGTCAACACAAACTAAAGCAGAACGCCACACCTATAGAAAAGCTCAACTTTAAAGGAGGAAAATTACACGTTTAGTCGAGCCAGAGTCCACAATCTGATATAAATGATAATCTGTGAGAAGATCTGTGATGTTACAATATTACATCGAGACGCAACATGCTTTGGTCAAAACAAAGACTGTATTATGAAACTAAAATAAAAGCTGTATTGTACAAGATATGACGCACTGAACGTGGCAACAGGGTGCGATACGGAGACGACGATGCCTCATTCCAAACTCCAGGAATATTAATAGGAGCCAAGCCACAACCTGGATGATTTCATCTCCTGCACCGTTTCCCCCCCCCAAGCAAAATCTACTGTAGTCTGGCACAAAGACAGCGTTTAAATAATTATCGTCTCTCCCATCCAGTGATAGAAATATACAGAAATTGTTCACAAAATACCCCAGAGACACATGTTCATGCTTTATTGCTGAACTGGAAGTGCCTCAATGCTCCAACGGCCCGTTTTTGTGCTTTTTCCCCCCCCCCCCCCTTCTCTGATCTGAAAACTGCAGAAAACAGAGGAAAGTCTAGAAGAGCAAGTTGCGCAAGATATGACTGCAAAGTGAAGCTGCCTTTTCAAATAAAAATGTTTTTTTTATTACTACTTATTTTAATTTATTTATCCACTGATGATAATGTCAGTGTTATTTCATTCAGTCCACCCACATTTTCTTTCCTTTACACTAATGCACCCTTGCTATGGATTTTGTCTTGTGATGTATAATTAATATTAAAAAAAGAAAAGAAAAGAAAAAAATTGACACAAAACAAACAAACAAGACGAAGCCTCACCTGGCTGAGGTTCAAAGGGTGAGACTGGCTCGGGACCAGCGCAGCTCGGTCCAGGCTTTCCCCGGAGCTGCAGGGCTGCCGGTTGGATGATCTTTTTGGCTTCATGTAAGCACCTGAAGGTCGACAGGATAGAATCGTTATCCATTTATCATCAACGCTTGGAATTAAACTCGACCGACATCCGCAGCGCCCTCACCAGTCTCCACGCGGCCGTGTGAAGCCGCCGCCCTCTCAAAGGTCTGGCTCTTGACCGAAGGAGCCACCACTGCCAGGGACTTGGGCTGCCGGGACGACAGGGGGCCGGCGGCGTTCAGGCTGCGAGGCAGCGGGGTCAGCGGGCTGGTGGTGGACGAGTCAGAGTCATGCACCGTGACGCAGCTGATCACGTTGGTGCGCTCGGTTCGGCTCAGTCCAATACTAGACGGATAAATATTGGTTGGAATATTTCGGTCCGCAAGCAGTCAGGAGTTTGAGGCAGAGCAGAGAGTTGGACTCACCTGGCCGGGTGGAACTTGCGCTCGTCTTCTGTGTCTGTGTCGCTGTGAATGGTGATGATGCTGACCGCCGGGCTGGGGGTGTCCGAGATGACGATGGGCTGGGACAGGGCCACAGAGGAAGTGGGCGGGGTCACGCCGCTGCTGAGGATAGATGTGGTGGATACAACCCTAGATGGAAACAATTTTTTTAGTTTTTTTTATTTCTCTCCATCCAGACCTGGCAACATTTTAGAACTGACGATGAAGGTGTGGCGGAAATTATTTCAGATTATTTGAAGGTTTTTCTGACATTTCACCTCAACTCATCTAATCATTTTTTGTGTCCTAAACAGAAGCTGTTGTCACTCAAGTGTCACCGAGCCTCTCACGGGCTCCGTGCAAAGTTAATTAAGGGATTACGTTTGCCATCATCTGGCACAACGCCATTTCCCAAGGGAAGCCGCAACCATTTGAAAACCTTACAAACCTGTTTCTGTTCTCCCCACACCGGGCTTTTCCTTTCTTTCTCTCTTGCTGCGTCCTGGCTTGAGATCCGTTTCTGTTGGGGGATAACAAATTAAAAAAATGAGCACGGCAAACAACAAGAGAAAAAAAGAAAAAAACGAAGATGGCGAAGATACAATTCTGAGGAATTTGGAAAGACAAAGACAGAGAGAGATATAAACATATCACAGCCTGTCAACATTTTCTAAAGTAATTGTCTGTTCCTTGGCATAAAATATACTGAGCTGACTTATTCATAGCATCTTAATAAAATGATGCAAAATGTCATCTTTGTTTATTTTTGGGATGATGATTTCTAGTTAAAAAAAAACAAAAAAAAAACTCACCAACATCTGAGACACTAAAGAAAATGAGCTTAAAAAAGTTTTTTCTTAATAGCAATTAAGTTCATTTTGCATGACAAAAGTACTGCTTTCAGCATTATTTAGTCAGAAAGTAATAATTGAAAGCAATAAAGAGGAATAAATATTAACTAAAAAAAGTAATGCAATATTCAGCTTCTATATTTCTGAGTTCTTTCCTTTTTTATTTGTTAACTATTTGTTATTGTATTAAATAATGTCATAATGGTCCAATGTTGAAGACTACTGACTAACAGTGTTAAATATGAAAAAAAAAAAAAAAAAAAAACCCTCAATTTCTCTAGAATCATTTTTAAAGGCCTGCCTGTCTTCTTCCCACACTCTGAGCTTTTTCCCCTCCAAACATGGAGTCTCATTTCTGACCTACAGAAGCCAAAATGGCATCAAATCAACATCGAGACACTAAAAGAAACGGCAAGTACACCAAATTCCTTGTCGTCCCACAACCCTGCGGCATGTTTAAACCGGTTCACCCACCGCCAGCTTTGTCCCGTCTGCACAGCGGCGCCCGAGTGAATGGCTTCCAGGGGAGATTCTGTGACGTTCGCCTGGTGGGCGGAGCCATGGATGGCCACACCTGGGACCTGCTGCCAAGACGAGGGGATGAGGATTTGTTGGGTACCAGTTGGCCAAGCCTGCTGAGAAAGACAAAAAGACCCATGAGTAGATGCACCAAGGTAGATACTTAAAAATGAGAATCGGTTTTCTAATTGCTGCCATGGGCAAGACGTATTAAGCCATGCTGAGAAATCCACAGACTAAAAAAAAAAAAAAAAAGTAAATAAATAAATACAAGCCAGTTGCTGGGATCGTCTACAGGCAAAAGCACAAAGCCAGAGAAGCGAGCAACCTTTCCCAAGCCATTCCTTTAATTCTAGCATTGGCCTGCAACAAATTCACAGGATGAAACCATGCAAAGCACAAACAATGAAGCGCTGTAAACGGATCAGATAAAGAGTCGAGTATTTACAGAACCGCGGTGCCTGTTAAAGAAGATCCAGATTAGTTCAGTCCCCTGATGACAAAACAGTCTGCTGATCGTAAATGTTGGGAAAGAGCATGCCACATGTTCAGGGGCTGAAACAGAAGAGGTGTGTGTGAGAGCTCTTAGTGGTCGCAGCTGCGACCTCCGCTGCTGGAAATCGATGGCAGGACAGGACAAAGAGAAGCTAACAAGCAAAGCGCAGACCAACTCAGCAGCGCATGCGCTCCATGCCCTGAGCACACCTATTGGGGGAAGAACTGGGGAATGAAAATGGGTGGATGATGAAGGGAATAAAAAAGGGGAAATGTCATCAATTTTGACGTCATGTTCAAACACCAAGTTTCAAAAAAAGTAAAAAAAAAAAAAAAAAAAAAAAAAGGCCTCGTGGTTAATAAGGCGGAATTTGAGCATGGACCAACTGTGATACGTCCGTACGCGAGATTGGAAACTACGAGAAGGACGAGCCCCATACAACGTGTGGCACAGGAGGAACGGAGAACTTGCAAACGAATGGAGCGACAGAATGGGGAAGGAAAGCTGCTAGTGTTAGTGAGTGAGACATTCTCCACAGGATGCCGTCGGTGCTTTACCAGCACAGTGGCCGTGTGCTCCAGGAGGGCTGGCCGACCCACCCCGGGGCCCAGCCCCAGGGGCAGGGAATACTGAGGGGCTATGCCTGGTGGGGGTGGGTGCAAGGTGGCCACCATCAGGGGTGTGCAGGAACCCTGGAGGAGGAAGGGAGGATAGAGGAGGGAAGTGTTAGGTGAAGAGTAAAAAAAAAAATACAAGGTCAGGCCCTGCAGCCCTGTGATTGGCTGAGGGGAAGCACAAACAGATGCAAAGAGACGGACAGAGGGAACACTGGTCAGCTACGTGACTGACGTAGGAGTACTCAACACCCCCCCACATCTCAAAAAACACTCCAATCGGCTCTGAAAGCAAATCCACAAAGAGCCGAAGCGCAACAGAAGGACAAGCAACTTCATGTACACAACCTTTGAAAAACCTAAACTGTAAAACCGACAAGATTTTTTGCCTCCTTTAAATCCATGTAGTCAGAGGATTATCAGCTAAGCACAAAATGTGATAAAATCATGTTATGTTTCTTTTACTATTCACATATAAGAAAGTCAAGATCAAACATATTTTTGATCAACTTTGTGATCAAAACCCTGAAAGTCCATCTCCAATTTATCAAGACTTCTTTTTTTCTTTTTTTTTCTTTTTTTAGCAAGGTCAGACAGTGTTTGCTTAGCACACTGAGAACAATCATTACCAAAGCGGGAATTTTGGACAGAATATATTTTGATACATATTTTCCCAACTCTAAGTTGTGTAAACTTCAAGGTTTATGGGCTTAAGCGCAGAGTATGAGGCGAAGCATAATGAGGGAGAGTGAGGCCTAAGGAGATCAGCACCCTGGATCAAGGTATCCAAAATTACTAGGCAGCTAAATTGGGGGGGAAAAAAGGTTTAAGAGACTCTGAAAACTTAAAATTTGCAAAAAGTCTGAGCGGGATCCAGCACTGTTGTGATAAATAATAAAAAAAACCCATCATTTTTATTTAAAATAGTTAACAGGTTCCAGAGAAACGCGACTGCAGCAATTTTAGAAAATACTTTAAAACAAATTGCTAACAATTTCCCACAATACACAGTCGCTAACATGTGACCATCTCTACTAAACTGGTTCCAGTAGCAGACTGGTGCTCGAGTTTACTAAACACCAGTTCTTTGAGTCTCCAACCAGAAACCTTCACCCTGGTACCAGTAACTCTGCAGCTAGCCAAAGGAATGAGCTTCTTTATTCAGGAACCAGAGGCTCATGGGTAAATGTAGCCAAGAAAAACATTACGCTCATTTTATATTCACCCGTCAGAGTTTAAACAGCTTAATGCTCGTGGCTGATTGTTTTTCCCTGAACCTGTAAATGTTATTTCTGATGACTTAGCTTCTTTAAAATCACCTTGCTGCATTAAATTTAGCCGTCTTTAACTCCAGTCCTTCAGCTCCCCTAGTGTTGAAAATCACAAATCAGCAGTTAATGGAAATAAGAGTAAAAGTTAACAGCTGAATCACTGTTGTTCTTATTTATTTATTTTTACAATTTGACTTCTATAAACATTTGAAAGTCCTGTATCTTGTTTCCCAACCCTTTCGTGTTGATGTAACACATAGAGTCTAGCAAAAACCACTGAAGGTTATAGTGATAATGTGAAAAGAACATATTCGAATACCATAAAAATGCTTACCTGGGTGAGCATACTTGGTTGGATCTGCAGTGACTGAGCAGACTGGTTCTGAGGTACTATAGGTACAGAGTTCTCCACCCTGACAGGGAAGCTGGAGCTCTTACTCGATGGTTGTAGCCCTGAAAAACAAAACAACAATTGAAACAAAAACACAAAACCAGGAAAAAAAAAAATCAAAAGATTATAAAAACCAATTTTTTTTCAAATAAAACTAAACCCTATTTTTACATTCAGTTCATTAGCATATTTGTGAGAATGCAAGGCTTCTATAGTACAATGCATTTCAAAGTGGAGGCTGTGATTCCCTAGGTGGCCACCAGGGGGCGATAAGGTGGCCTCAGAAACTTGGTAAGATGAAGGAAACAAATGTAAAAGTAAAAACTGAATATATATATATAAAAAATACAAGTTAAAATAACTTAAAACTGAACTATGTATATTCAATATTAAATATATACATTTATAATATTTGTCTTTGTCATCCTTCTGATCAAGTTGCTTTCGCCTCAAGCTAGCACAGCACAAAGAAAAATGGACAAGTGTATGAAACAAAGTTTAGATTTTATTTTACTTTATTGGACAAGACTCGTGTTGGAACTGTGGGATAAATATAAAAATATGTATATTGCATATTTTCTTGGCATCAAGAGGGGACTGTGGCGGTTTTTGTTTAGCATCAGGTAAAACTTTATGACATCAGAATGAATAAAGTTATATTACCTGATAATAAAAATTTTACCATAGAATTCATGGCCAACTAAATTTAAAATGCATGAGGCAGCATTTATGCTAAACGACAGCAATAATTATTGAATAGTGAATAAAAGTGGGGGGAAAAACATTGTAAAAATTGATATTCTTTACATATTTTGAAGCATTTTCTGTGGGTTTCGGAAGGGGCAGAAGGTAGAGCATGAAAACCTTTGGGAACCACTGCCTTAGTCTAGTATTTGGGAATGCAGGACAAATTATAAGAGCACTGCTGTGTGACTATAAGTCTATGGTCTACCTTGAATAGTAGAGGGTGGACACACAATAAGGGTCTGCTGGAACGGTTCTGTCTGGGTACACAGCCCAGCAGGACGGGCTGGAAGTGGGACGCTTTGTTGAGCCAAACCAGGAATGTTGATAGTGGCCTGTTGGTAAAGAGCTGGCTGGTAGTTCAGCAAAGGCACCGCACCCCCTGCAGAAGGCACCTGTTGAGATGACGACACTGATCAACACCAGAAGGCTTAAAGGTTCAGGAACACGTTTGCCGTCATTCATCTTAGATACTTCACAGAGTCTGACAAACCGCAGCGTCAATGCTGACATAACTGCCCTGAAATAACTTGAAATGTTACTGTCCAGCTCAAGAGAACACCACCTTAGTGGACACGCTGCAAAAAACACAAAATGTTACCAAGTATGTTTGTTCTAGTTTCTAGTACTTTTTCTTATCAGTATTAAGAAACTGACTAGAAAAAAAATCTCCTCTATCTTGCTGAACTGCTGCTTGTAAGTTCGTTTTGTCTTATCTCGAGAGTACAAAGATATCTGCACTAGAAACTAGACCAAACATACTTGGTAAGATTTTGTGTTTTTACATAGAAAGACAAAAGATCTCTGCAATTATTCTTCTGTAGAAAGTGGCACAGTCTTTGAAAAGCTACACCTGGACTCTGCTGAAAACAATTTCTAACTTTTTGAGAAGAGTAGAAAGTACATTTTGATATCAGGATAAAGTGTTATAATACTTTATCCTGATACATGACATAAGCAGAGTCAAAGGCTTAAAAACCGGTTTATGCATGTTGACAGAGAGTAAAGAAAAAAAACAATGAACACCTACATTTAGTGTGTGCTATTACAGCCAGGTGTGCATACATATTTGCACGCACAGCTCCTACCTGGTTATGCTGGTTAAGCTGGCTACTGAAGGTAACAGTGAGGTTTCCTGCGGCAGCACTGGGAACTGCATTGGTGGAGTACAGAGACTTGCTACTGTCGTACGTGCTCCGGCGCTTGCAGATCTCCATATTTTGGAAGCATGACTTGACACTGGGGAGGGGAAAAAAAAAAGTTGGAGTGCCAAATATTTTAGGAGCGACACCTAGGTAAGCACTTTCTCCAAAAAACTGATTCGACTTCCCCTCCCCAACTCCACTTACTGTGAGCTGTGCGGATAATTTATTAGGTGACTCATCGTGACGAAAGGGTGGCCCAGCGTTTTCGTGGGAGTGATTCTTTTGTCAGCATCGAGACGAAGCATCCGTTTCAAGAGATCTATGAACTCTCTCCTGTCGGCTTTCTCAGCCAGCATGTCCGTCCCCTCCAAATGAGATGATAGGTTGACCTGAACGCGGAAAGTAATGAAAACGGTTTCATAATCGACAAATACTTCAGAAGATTTCCTAGACGTTAAAACAAAGTCTACAAACTAAAGACGAAGCGTACCTGCATCATGTCATCTAGACAGTTGAAGATGTACTTCCTGGCCTCCTTCGATTTGATTCCCATCTCCATTTCGTGCTCTGCTGGTGTCTAGGGCAAAAAACAAAAACAAAACAAAGAATGTAATGCATGTATATGTGTAGCGATAAAACCATTTTGGAATGATGAACCAAATTATGAGAGAACTTAAACATTACGGCAATTATGAGAGAATTTCAATGAAACAGTGCGTCAAGAAATTGGGGCAGGATTTGTTGACAGCTTTAAATTGTATAAACTTGTTGTTTTATGAGACAGATCAATGATCTGTAAAATAGGAAGTGCATGTAGGAAGTTTTATAAGAGCAACACAGATTTCTGCTTGATAAAGTTGCAATGTCATGTAATAAATAAACTTTTACCACTTCAAGTCTGTTATGTCTCTACTTTTGTTTTTAACCTCTAACGACTGTGTTGCACAATTTGTACAAAATTCTCTAAGAAATAAAATCTAAGCTGTGTTTCATAAAAACATTTTCTTCAATAAAACCCTAAAAATACCTTTAAAAAAAGGTTTGATTTGTTTTGGATGGTTAAAGTTTTCTCAGCTAAGCTCTAGTCTGTGCAGTAGATGACTTTATTATGCTACAAGAATATCTTAAAACCGGGATAATTTAGCAATGCTTCCATCTAGTCGTCATCTACTACATTTGCGTAGTAGACGTGTGTTAAGCTTTCGTATGCCATATCAACCTTAAGCCGCCACAGCGGGTAGCTGGAGTCCGGGCCTCGGTTGAAGAAGCGGCTGGTCTTGGTGCCGGCGCTCAGGAGGTATTCAGCTGGGAGGCCTTGAGTCTGAGAAATGTATCGGATCTGGAGACGCAGAGGACACGGAATCAGTTTGTTTTGTACGATCTACTGCATTCTCCTCATTTCGGATGATTAGATTTAAGATCTGACCAACGTCCACACTGACCTGGTCGTACTCGGAAGCTCCGGGGTAAAGAGGCCAGCCTAAAAACAGCTCAGCGATCACACAGCCCAACGACCACATGTCGATGGCCTCACAGAACGGCAGGCCCAAAATGATCTCTGGAGCCCTGGACGGCAGACAGCAATCAGCAATTAATGAGTGAAGTGACAAATCTGATCCCAAATGTTTTATTTATTTATTTTTTGTTTCCAAAATGACAGCTTGTGTCGAGATTAGTAAAATACCTGTAGTAGCGAGACTGTAAGTAGGTTGAGCACACAGCTTTCGACACGTGACTCGCAGAGCCGAAGTCTATGACCTTCACCCGGTACGGCTGCCTGATCGGGTCGACCAGCATGATGTTTTCAGGTTTCAGGTCCGCATGGATCAGTCCTAAACTCTTCAGTTTCATCAGTGCTGTGGCCACCTAAAAATGCAAACAGCTGTTAGAACTTCTTGAAATACAACGACGACGACAAAAAAAGAAGTCATTACGTTCAGCCGACCTGCTGCAGGATGGGTCTGATGTGTCGTAAGGGGAGTGGGCTGAACTTGCTGTGCTTTAGAAAGTCGTACAGGTTCTGCTCCAGCATCTCAAACACCAAGCAGGTGTGGCCCTTGTGTTGGAAGCATTCGTACGAGCGCACAAAATTGTACTCGTCTGCGTTCTCTGCACTCAGCCGATTCAGAATGCCCACCTGTGGAGAACAGAAACCGGCTGGTTAGAAACAAACGCTGGTTTTCCTGGAGATTCTACCTACTGAATCACGAACGCGCTTTACCTCGATTTGTCCCTGACGAGCGTATGAAGGATGGTTCTTCAGAATCTTGATTGCCACGATCTCATTGGTGCCCCTTTTCCAACACTTGGCCACTTGCCCAAACGTGCCCCTTCCCAGGAACTCTAGGACTTCGTAGCTGGAGGACATGGAGCAGAGGATCTCGTGCTGAACGAGCTGATAATCCCCCTCGCCGTTGGAGCTGCTGCTCTTGGTGGTCGGAGCCGAGTGAGGTATGGACTGGCCTGTGCCGCCTCCGCCGCCTCTGCCAGTGCGGGTGGAGTAGGTCGCCGCGGGAGCCGAGAGCTCCTCCAGGATTTGAACGCTGCCACACCCGCTCCCGCTGCCCTCGCTGACCTCCTCTAGCTTTCTCTTCTGGCCGTGCCTCTGGCTCCTCGCTTCCGACGTCGTCTCGTGATTGTACGACGAAGAGGTCGCCTGCTCGGGGACGCGTCGACTGGACCCGCGAGGAAGGCTACCTGTGCTATCAGCGGCTCGCACCACCACCTGGCCCCTGGAGCCCGTGGCAGCGGGAGGGAAGACGAGCGATGGCGCAAACGGAGGCACGGCCATGGCTGGGGTGAATGCGTACGCCGACTGGCCTGCTATGGAACCGTAGGCTTCAGTGGTGGAAACGTCCCAAACATTGCTCTCCACCTTGAGCTTCTTAACTCGGCAAAAGGCACTGGAGGAGATTGAAGGGGGAGAGAAGACTTGCAGCTGTGAACTCATTGCTGCAAGAAGGAAAAAAAAAAAAAGAGAGTTTTACAACAATTGGGAAAAAAAGGAAAATAATCAGCATCCCCAATGTATAATTGGGAATATTACCATACGTCTGTGGCTGCAGCTTTTTGCGCATAGCGCTGAATGTATGATTATGCAACTAGCAGCGATACCTCCTCCACAACATCTTATTTGCTTCTGCGAGTTGCAGATAATTTATACGAGAAATGTAAAGAAAACACACCCGGAATGTCGCTCAGCCGCCAATTTTTCCCCTTCGTGTTAGTGATATAGCTTGTGAACAGAGCTGAAATGTCATTAAGTCAAAACAAGAGTTGATTTACTTGAGAAAACAACTCTTGTTGACATAGATATAAATATATATACCATTTCTAAAAAAATAAAATGCTGTTTTGTGGAATGTCTGGAGCCCAGCAATAAATCAATAAATAACTCAAAAGTTTTAACAGAAAACTTTAAATCACCAAATACAGTGTAAGTAAATGTGACAGCTGGCTGAATAATGCCCCTTTAAAAGTAAATTAACCAAAAATTATACTCTTTTACTTTAAAAAATGTGTATAATTGATTAAAAATGCAGGAAAATATCAAATACATTTTAGAAACTGTCAATCTTTGTGATTAATGGGAGACTGCTTTTAAAGTTTTATTTTAAATCTGCACTCCCCAATTTCTGTGTGGAGTTTTAACTTTTTATTGCTGTCCAGAATATTGCTTAAATTATTCCAGTTTTGTAATTTTGGGTCACAACTTTTCACATTTTTATATGAAAAGTCCTAACTTTTCTGAATATATATGACATAGTAGTAGGGAAATTCTTATTGGGATGCACTAAGGAATTTTGATGCAGACTTTACCACTTGACCAACCTGTAAAAAACCCAACAATTAAATTTTTTACCAATAGGTGACCAACCAGGTCACATAACTACATATTTCTTGGGTATGAATGCTAAAGAAAACTCCAACTTTGATAGTTTCAGAATCGATGATATGTTCAAAAATCAAGCCAGCATTAAATTACCATTTAAATGACCAACTGAGTCATTATCCTCTTAGAATAAGAAATCCCCTGGTTAACAACACAAGCACACAAAACGGGACACTGTCCCTGCTCGCAAAATAATTACTGACAGGAAAGCTTGGAAAAAAAAAAAAAAAAGTATAGTTTTATATTTTAGTGGAAAAAATGAAATCAGACATCTAAGCTGATATGGATCTGAAAAAGGGGTGGGAGGGTCAGTCTCTGCTGGAAGCATCTAGAAACGAAAAGGACTGCTTATCTCATCTCAACATAATTATACAGAGAAACTTTGAAACGTGAGCATGGATGACAGTAGAGATGAACTGTGCACTAGAACACCGTCACACAACATGGGCTCCCAGACATCAAAGGCCTGTCCTCACAGGGAAAATGGAAGGACAAAAAAAAAAGAAAAAAAAAAAAGAGAGAACAAGGCCTGGACAATATACTCACCAATACCGACTTACATTAACATTCACAACGAAATCTGTCCAGATCTAATGAGATTAGGACAACTAAAACAAGCCCAAAACATTTTAATCTGAAGCTGCCAATGTGCTCTGTCGTTCAGAGAACATTATTATATTTAAATCATTAATTTCTCAGATAACAAAAGAGATAACAATATATCTAAAATATATACATTTTAGTTCTATGCGGACAGGTTGATTAAAAAAAAAAAACAAACAAAAAAAAACTTTGGAAATCGAAAGTGTTTCTTAATATAATCCATGCCTGTATAATTACATGCGACAAACTAATCAACAAAGCATCGTTATGAGATTGAAATACAGAAATTGTATTTTTAAGGATGGCTTCATGTGCTGTACCCAACTAAAGCAAAATTCACCACAATATTCTTTCAAAGCAGGTAAGTTTAGAAAAAAACCTTTACAAAGAGGTTATTACTGACAGGGTGTTGAAGAACAGATTTTCCTAACACTAGTGTTAGAATATATACATATATATGTATTAAAAAGTGTATCTATGAGTTTCTGTCAGTTTTTAGCCCAAATGTATCCATAAATATGCACACCCCTGAAAGATTTTTCAACCAAAATCACAAAGATTGTTACTCAACAGACTAAGGCTAGCATGCTAACGCATTATCTCTTGACACCCATGGCCTCAAAACTCCAACGTTTTAATACACAAAAATGAAACCAATGTTAACATATATGTATACATCCAAACTTACACGAATAAACAGTTGTAACCTACCGTTTTATGTCGCCTCAACAGCTTTAAATCACAGCTCCGTCCACGGTTTAAATCCCACTGGTCGGCCAGTTATCCGATTAGCCTCCGCTAGCTAGGCCTGCATTGTTTCTTCAGTCGAAGGCGAGCTGGTCAGCATTACAGCGCCGATTTCCCACAGGAAAAAGCCCAAAGCTCTCATTTTCTAGATAAATTAAATACTCTACTTCTAAAATATGTACAATTCATAGTTAAAAGATCGCTTGCTCTGCTCTTAAAATCCGCCCTCCGTGGAGTGGCCAAATCCACTTTTCTCCGGAACGAACCACGGCCTTATATCAGCTGCAAGCTTTACGACATGTCCGGTTTCTACCGTACTTACGGTAAATTTTCCAAGGCTCGGATGCAGCAAAAAAATAAAAAATAAAATAAAATAAACACATGTTTTTACATTTTTGGGAGAGAAACTGAAAAATAATACCAAACCTAGAGTTACAAAATAAATTCCAGACTCCTCTATATGTTACAGTGTCCTAAAAAGTGGAATCAGTGAGAGAACAGTAATATTGAGGAGGGTACCACATATTTACGGTAAAAATGAATTGACGTAAGTACTGGTAATTTTCCGGATTGCCTTGGAACTTTCTGCTAACGTTGGAACTGAGTGTTGTAATGTTTAGTCCTAAGTAAATACTCTTCACGCTGCTTTGAAAAGTTCATGTAACTTTTCTCTAAAAGATGTCAACTGCAGGGACAAACACTTTATTTGAATACATGGAAAACATTGGTGAATGTAGTAAGTTTTATTTTGTAACATATTATTAGAATACAGACAATACAAGTACAATTATTCTAGAAATCGAGTAGCTGCAGTTAAGTATTTACACTTTAATATCTTACGAACACAGATATAATTGTAATATGTGTAATTAAATTAACTATTTTATCTTAATTATAAATGCTTTTACTGCTACTTTTCTTGCGGTATTTGTAATTAAAATACCACAAGAGGAAACTCCCAAGCTTTTAAAATTGGAAGAAGTCCTTGTCGTCAACCTAATCTTTAACACACTTCAAGTCTGGACTCTGATTTCAGTAATCCTTGACTGATATTGTCTACTTTGAGAAAAAAGGTAATGTCATCATAAACAGGTTATTTAAATATCCCAGATCATTTACTGAAGTACTCAAAATGTGTGCAGAAATGATGTACATTTTAAACATCAGAACTAGAGTTTAATTTCATAATGGTGACCAATCTTTTTATGATTGTGTTCATGTCTATGTAATAAGGAATAAGTGTTTTCAAATATTTTCAAAGTGCAAAAATCTATTTCTTTTGCATACTTTTGACTACTGGACAAGTTTTGCACCTCATCCACATTCTAACCCACCACTCTCCAGTACCTGCATGTCATCATGAAGTACTTTATCTAGGCCAATTGGCAGGGGAAAGAATGAATATAAGAAAAATATACAACATAAGAAATAAAACATCACCCCAAAAAGAAATAGGTTAAAGTGCAAATTTTCTTTTTATTCTGATTTCATTTTACAGCAGAAATTATGTAAAGCATTCAGAAGACATATTCCACATATAAGGGCAATATTCAAAAACACTTTGCATGGCCTCAGCAACAAAATATTCTTTTTGAAAACATCAACAAGTTAGTGATGCTTGTGCATGCATGTTTGTAAAAACAAACAAACAAAAAGAAGGATCAAAAACTAGGCTACGAAAAGAAAGAGAGAAATGAGCGGTTGAGATCGGCATGAGAACACAACGGCAGGCAGGATGATGGTACAGCAGGAGATGAGAGAGAAAAGGGAAGACAGGGCGAAAGAGGAGGAAGGCAAGGAGAGGTCTAGCCGTAGGTTATCTATAAGGGTCTACCATTCTAGCATGCAATGTGGTGCTTGGCCACGCCCTCTTGAAACAAGGCCTGAAAGATTATACGGTTCGTTTCCAGGCGGACGTACGAGAACAGAGGCCACCTCTGTGCACGTTTTGCCACCTGTCTGCTATGACAAAGGTTCTTACCTGTGCAGTCTTTGCTTTATCTTAGTTACATACTCTTTACAGTCACCATCCTCTGCGAAACATGAGCCTGCTGATGGAGTTTCTGTGGTGTGGGATGGTACTTTGTTTGTTGTACAAGTTGTTGAACTGATGCCTGTGTGTGTACATATGTGAGGGAGTTTCACAAAGTCATCTTTAGCTTTGGTGGTGAGAGAGGGAGGACAGTTTAACGTCTGTTCAAGAGGAACTGTCCTCAACATGGCCGTCAGTTAGATAAAAAATAAAAATAAACTGAAAATAATAAACCCCAAACACGAAGATTGTTAAGATGATGGAGATGTATTACTTACAGTGCCTTTAAAAAGTATTCATAACACTGCAATTTTTTTTTCCTGATTTTGTCTTGTTTCAACTACAAACTTTAATGTATTTCATTGGGATTATTGGGTGGCTATGAAGTGAAAGAAAAGAATACACAATTTTCAAGATGTTTTAAAATATACCTCTGAAAAGTGTGGCAGCCATTTGCATTCAGCTCTCTTTGCTCTGCTACCTCTAAGTAAAGTGCACCCAGTTGCCTCTAAGGTCACACAAACGAGTCGGATGTTTTATAGAGAACATTCCTGAGCATCTTGAAGTCCAAGGAACAGAGAAGACAGGTCAGGGAGAAGTCGTGGAGAAGCTTAGAGCAGGGGAAAACTGTAAAACAAACCTTACAAAGACAAGGCTGTCCAGTCTAACAGAGTGGCTTAGCATAAAGAGCGTTAATCAGAGAAAGATTCAATCAGCTCCTAGTTACTTTAGAGGAGCTGCAGAGCATAAAGAGCGTTAATCAGAGAAAGATTCAATCAGCTCCTAGTTACTTTGGAGGAGCTGCTGAGCTCAGCTGGGGGAATACCAACCTGGCATCTATAGAAGGGAAGGTGACCAGATTCACGAGACGATGCATGAAGCTAAAAAGAGGAATAAATCCTGCGGAGAAAACCAAGAGTCTGTAAAAGACTTGGTCAGAGCTGAATTTTCCACTGGGATGATCCTAAATATTCAGTCAGAGGTGCAGCAGAATAGTTTAGATCAGAGCATATTCCGGGCTGAATGATCAGTCAAAACCCCAGATGTAAAATCTGACTGAGCTTGAACTTTTTAGCAAAGAAAATAGGCTCAATTTTCAGTCTCTTTAGGTCTGAAGAGCTGGTAGAGACCACTTAATGCAGCCTTAATTGCACCACTAAATTCTGCATAGAATTAATATGGCGAGTTGCATCAAATGCATATCACACTTTTCATATTTTTATTACCAAAAGATTAAAAGAAAAAAAAAAAAAAACCTCAAATTCAGGGATTGTAATACGACAAATTGTGAGAAAGTTCAAGGGTTTAATACTTTTGCAAGACACTGCAAGATACTCTAATTCAGAATAATCTAAAAAATTGCCCATTATAGGATCTTATGAGTACATTAAAGTCAAGAACATTTGCATCAGTGTAGTTTCTTATTACTTGCTTTGAATGTCATTTAAATTTAGACAAAATCTGAGTATTTTGCGTGTTTGTTTTTTTTTTTTTTTAAGTTGGAAGCTTGATCCATGACACACCTTAAGTGATTTTTTTTTGGGGGGGGGGTTATAAGAGCATGTGTGTCAAACATTCACATTAAATTTGAAGGTGCAGCACAGTGACTGGACAGATGTTATATTATAAACCACGCACGCACACACACACACACACACACACACGCACACACACACACACACGCACGTACACGCAAATGTACACAGCCTCCACATGTGGGACACTTGTGTTAATGCAATCCACATACCATCTCCCTGTTCTTCAACCCTGAGTATAATCTAAAGGAGAGATTTCATGCCTCCCAAAGACATAAGCACATGAGAGAAAGAGTGTGGCCTTATCTGCGTACGAGCCAGACTGTGTACGTTTGAGTTCCACGCTGTGTGTGTGAGCACATCGGAGTCAGAGACTGAGTGAAAGAAAAAAAAAATCCACAAAGAGGGATGTTTATGAAAGTAATTTAGCCAGATAAAGACTTTAGAGTTCTGTTTCAGAAAATGATTATTTTCTGGGAGTAAAATAAGAGTGAGATTCAGAAAATACATAAGTCTCTCAATACTGATGCTGCAAATTGGCTTATGATAGTGCCTCTCATAGACAGAAGCAGAATTCAATGTTGTTTTTTTTCCTCCTCTGATAAGTACACACAAAGGTAAGGGGCGATGCCGTCATATTTGTTAGCCCGACATAGTCACACATATGATCAATTAGGCCACGAGCGTCCATTCATACCAGACAAATTAGGGTTTTTAACAGAGAGCAGAACACTGTCAAGTTCAATTTTAACACACAATTTAGGAAAATAAAGAGATAACTGGGAACATTTTTTTTTTTGGAGAATATACAATACTTCCTGATATTAGTTTTCGGTTGTTGAGCAGGCACTTTCTAAACAAAACTTTCCACGAGATTAAACTACATGTCATACAATTATGGCAGTGACAATGAGGAAG